GGCCAGAAACGACTCTTGACTGTGTGATGTTTAGAGGTCTTGGTGACAGACCCTGAAAACCCTTCAGTTCTATGTAACTCTTTAGCCTCTTTTAGCATCAGTTCTGCTTTTGCAGCCCTCAAATTACTTACTTCAGCCTGATAGATTTCTTAGGGGTTGGAGGAAAACAAGACTCAGAATGGATGCTAATGTATCTGCTGTATAAGAAGGCAATTGTATGCTAATAGACCAGCCATAGAATCTTAATAAGCCAGTGATTTGTGATGGCTGTGCATCTGTTAGTCTGTGGCTCATATTACTGCAATCTTAATTTTATAAAAGCTTAATGTATCAATTAAAGGATTCAAATTGTGCCATACTATTTACTATTATATACATATTATTATGACAATAAATGCTCAAACGTTAATAAAAAAACACATTATTGATTTATTGTACTGACATAATTGTGTAAACCAAAAGTTACTTTTGAATTCTGTTTTTGAGTCTTTAATCTATCTCCTGCCACTCTCCTTCTTAAACTAATCTTTTGTATCTCATGTATTATGCAGCAACATTATGTCTATAATTTGATACAGTGCAGTGAAGTAATATCAAAAGCTGACATTCCAGCTAACTTGTACTCACCACAAAGCAGAAGAAGAAACTGATTTTGGCCACATCAGTGATGGTTAGCTTGCCCACCGTGCGCAACATGGCCTCGTGGTCCTTGGCAGCTGGGTAGGACATGCGGGACAGTTTGGCCTCCAGGGCTTGAGTAGAGGGCAGCTGACGCACTTCCATGATATTACTAAAACGCACCCGCTGCTTTTTGGAAGCTGCTGGGAGATAAAAATGAGAGAGGAGTGAATTAACAGAGGAAGGAAGAAACAGGTTTTATTTAAATGCTCTAACAGAGAATGTAATACATAATATACTATACAAAATATCAACCTCATCAGGCTCGAATGCATGACTGGGTTGAACAAAAGCTGTGTCATTTTAAACACAGACGCCAAATAACAAACAACAGAGAAACCCTTATAAACATCTCAGAACCTTTACTATGTGGCTTTGGCCAGCTCTAGAAATTGAGGTCAGTAACAGCTTTCCTGAACTGCATCACTAAAAAGCCAAAAGAATAATCTGATTTTTCCACTGCTGTGAAATACAGCCAGGACAAAGAGAGCGAAATCCTTCTGTCCATAATTTAGGTTTTTATTATGATGGTATGAGAAAGAAGAGAGACGAGAAAAAAGAGAGGTTGCATAACAGGTCAGGTAAAAGTTTCTCATGTTAAATATTGTATTTCTTTAATATTGGCTCTAAACAATGGTGTCATCTATTTTCACAGCTCACCACTGCCCTCTGTTGTTGACCAAATCAATGAGGTTATCAATCACAAATCAGTCGAAACTTAAGCCCTTACATTGTATCAGTAAATTCAGAGAGGGGATACAATGTTGAGACAACATAATACATCAGCTTCATGTTATTTCAGACAGCATCGACTGTGTACTTACAAGATTCACAGTCTCCAATTAAACAGTTTGAATGCTCAGGAGGTACATCCTGGAACTTCACTGGAACATACAGTGGTTCGCTCTGCACAAGAGAGAAAGAGAAAGTCATACGTTTATACCGTAGTCGTTAAACCAACGTGATAGTCATTGTTTATGCGATTAATTAAACACTGCAGACACTGACAAATGGCAAAATCTTCAAAAACTGCATCGTCTAGTTGCACTTGTAGAACTAGTTTACTGCTCAGAGTCCTAATTTTCGCTATTTGCAATTAGACTACGTACCAAACAGTTGTTCACAGTGGTGTCAGTGGTGCAGGGTGCAAAGTAGGCCTCAGCATCAGCAAACTGCAGAAACAAGCAAACCATCAACTTACAGACAAAAACCAAGAAATCAGATTCGGACTTTCTGCTGCGGTGACTGAATTTCCCAAAGAGTCATTTACAAGTTTATCTTATCTCAAAGGAAAGTTTAAACCCAGAACTTAAAGAAATGTTGGACGTGCATAAAAATGTATTTATTTGTCTAAAAGAACATTCTGCTGCAGCTTCTAACTGAGCTTAGACATGCCATTAAAACCAAAACATAAAAAACCAATCATCTAGACCAAGGATCTTCAACTAGCAAAGTCAGAACTGGTTAAAGTTGATTAATATTTCCCGCTAATCAGGACTGCATTCTGCAATTACAGGTTTTAACCATCACTCCTCAGTGAGCTGCCTTCCTGCTGGAGGTCTGAGAGCATTTTCTAGTTAAGAATCTAATCTTATTTTCATGGATTTCACTTTTAGTCTGTTCACATTGATACAGGCTAATAAAAATAACATTCATTTTGTAAGAGAATGAAAATATTAAACATTAATAGGCTTATTATGCCTACATTATTATTTTTTTGCTATTCTGGCCCCCAGACTGTAGTAGTTCAATATCCCTTGTCTAGAAATACAGACTGTCCTGCTGATTAAAAAAATCTCTCTGCTTAAGAAAAATAAAGTCAATAAACCTGATAGAAGGCACAGTTTGTGATTCTGTATCGCTGAGGTTGTGAAATGCACGGTAAGAAATGTTTGGAGAAAGAAAACAACACTTAAAACATTTATACACACTGCCCCCATGTGGTGAGAGTGTGGCTCAACTACTTACAAACGCAGAGCGCCTGCGCTTCAGACTGCCGGTGCACTGCTGCCTCCAGGGCCGCCACAGCAGGAAACCCAGCAAATAGAGCACAAACATGGAGGTCTTGGTGAATGTGCTGAAGAAGGGTTTGTTGTACTCCTGTCGCTTGAAAATGTACTGCGGGAAGAACCAACAAGAGGAGGCTGTTAGGAGAACATCTTTTATTGGTTGATTAAATGTGTCTGTGTTTAACTTTAAGTTTGTCTAGTTAAATGCAGTTCTTCCTAAGAGCATAGGAGGGGAGGAACAAATGCTATTTACTCAATCGATTGGGACACTTGATCCTTGAACCCCAGGATCCACAGTTCAGGTAGCCAATGGTTGTATCTTTGTTTAGTTATTAATTTACCTTTCTACATTTTTCACCATGACGCTGTATGTTAGCAGCTTTTCCTGTTGTTTTATGCTGCCAACCCAGCCTGCTCTTGTAATGGTGCCACACTGTGGCGTCACAAATATTGCACTGTACAATGTATACAATATGTAATTATCGCCTGTCACATTATCTACTTATTGTAAGAAAAAAACAAACTGGACTGGACGGACTCCACTGAGACCCTCTACAGGAGAGGACAGAGCAGGCTGTTCTTTCTGAGGAGGCTCAGGTCCTTCAACGTGTGCACTCAGCTACTACAGATGTTCAGTCTGTAGTGGTCAGTGTCATCTTCTGTGCTGTGGTTGGCTGGGGAGGAGGCATCGGAACATGTGGTGCCAACAAACTGGGCGAGCTGGTGAAGAAGGCCAGCTCGGTGGTGGGGACGGATCTGGACAGTGTGGAGGCTGTGACTGAGAGGAGGATGAGAGGGAAGCTGAAAGCCATCATGG